ATATTTTTAATACTTTTCGTATTATAGTATGTATTTATGTTGATTAAATAGTTTTGTTCAAATTAATATAAATACCCTTTTAATGTTGAACTGTTAAAATGATATATGTTAGTTTTAATTAAATTTGAAATACTTACAATATACTGAAGGAAAATATACAATATATAATACAATTTAGTACTTCAAACATTAATACTAAGTACGTTTCTAATAATAATTTACATCACAATATAGTATTGTCTTAACAACAGCTACATTTTTATATGTGTCTAAATATACACAGTGTCTCAATAGTATAAAAATATCTTCAATGTTCCTTGATACCAAAGAGAAGATAACATAACCTCGTCTTATTTCGCGGGTTATTAAAAGTGATAAAATGCGAACAATAAAATTAGTAGAAATCGAATTTAAGCGAAATAAATGTAACTTTTTAACGAATTAAATTTAAATTACAATTCTTGAGATGTAAATATCCGTTCTGTATAAATTTTCATCAAATCAGCTTGATAGTACAAACAATAATAGTTATCTTTATATATTTAAGGTTTTACTAATTTAATATTTGATTTTTCAAGTAATTCAATGTATCTAATAATTTGCACTTAATCACTTTATATCTTATCCTATCATTTATATCCTTTATATTAATAAAAATCCAATCTCACGAACAAATTAATCATTTGTTCAATTCAATTTCACTTATTGAAATGTAGACGGTACTTCAATCCGATTTCACTTGACTTTCATTTATATTTCTAAAGCAGAAAGGATTATTAAAATTACCATGCTTAAAAACTTTTTCCATTTAAAGTACCGTTTCCCTTTTTAATCCGCACATAAATGAACATTTATCATTTATTTAGAAAAAAATGTTACCTTAATTGATCGCTATTTGTATTCAAAATTATTATAAATGTCCGAAAATGATATAAATTGTATCTAACCTATCCAATCGCTAAGAAATTAATTATCTTGTTGACCTTTCGTGAAATAATCCACGTTTGCCTCAGACTTCTTTCCAAATATCTTACTTAAATAATCACTTTTACACAACCTAATAATTCCTGTAGATTATATAATACTTGCGAAATTGGGTCTAAGAAGCTACTGGTGGTTGTATGAAATCTTATTTCCGAAACGGATCAAAGGAGGCGACCTTCATAAAACATTACAACTCTTCGTTGAGCCAGCTGCAGTTAATGCCGATATTTCACACCGGTTATACGAAGATAAATACGTCGAATTATTTCTATACTCCAATCATTGCTTAGAATAGAAGCTCCTACTTTTTCTATATATTTTCAGAAACAATTAATTCCTTCTAGTAAAACAGCAGCGTGTCCCTTCGCAATGTTTAAACTATATATTTCATAACAAAAATTGGAAAAGTAAGAATACATTTTAAGAATAAATATATATATTACTTCGAAACATATGTCATTTCAGAAATGCTTATATGGTACGTAACAGAGAAAAATTGGATAATGTGTTAGAAACGACTTATTCTACTCGAAAATGAATGACAATTTACAGTAATAAATTTTTAATGATGGTAAATAATGGTAAATGTCCCATTCATAGAATAGGAGATACTATCGATCCAATAATGTCTAATGTAATGATGAAATAATGTTCGGTAACAGTATCACAAAGAATCGAACGAATTTTCAAGGCTTCGCGAATGTGGACATTAAAGAAAGTTAAGCGGAAGTGAAGCACACGCATTATATATATTTTCTGTTACAAGAAACTGCGTAGTCCGTTAAGTATACAGTACTGTCTTTTCTCTATGAAAAATCGACCGTGTCCTTAAAATCCGTCTATGCGTCAATTCGCTGGAAAAACTTCACCCGCGGAATATTCCAAATGAAATAAGAGTCCCATTACCATTTGAAAACGTTAGCGAAGGAACAAGTTGTCTTTCGCAAAAGTGCCGTTTAAGATTTATTGTTATACGCATGGTGTTTTTAAAATGCGGCACACAAGACCGACGACCACAAGTACCAAGTAATGCGCGGCATACGTCGAATAATTAAAATTCAAAGGTGTATTTCGTATAAAACCTGCAAAGAGTTAATAATTGTTCGGATCATCGCGAATTTCAATTAATGTGCGCGCAAAGTATGCACACATGTAGCTCTCCGTTCGCTGATGTAGGAGTTGAAGTATTCAGGATCTGCTTTGCGCAAGCATGCGTCGGGTAATTATTATTTGAATCGTTTCAGTCCACTTATATGCAAAGTATCCTCCCTTATGCATACCTGATCCTTCCCGCGACTATACTCGACGATGTATAATTGAAAACACGATAAACAATGAAGTCACTGAACTACCGTAAGAATATGAATAAGTTTCCATGGAACTGGATCCGTGTCAATCTTCTAAGTAACCAGTTTTTAAGCGTTTTAATCACTCACTGACAAGGAAACAGCGATAACTAGAAACCTCACATTTCTTACAAACTTTACAAGTTTGTAAAGTGTTTCAGGGGAAGTATCAACGAATTTCTTACTTACTGCTTTGTTTGGTTCTTCAAAGTGTAAAGAGCGAGATTAAATTAACTACTACGTTTTTTTCACAATCGTACTCATCAGAATTATTTTATTGTTCATAATTCATTAGGAAAAGAAAGAAATTCTACGCTTATTCTGCTTCTGCGTTTACTCTGAAGTATTACAATTAATATATTATATATAATTATAATATATTAATATAATATATACATATAACATAAATAACTTATATATAAATATAATTATAAATAAATATAAAAAAATGGATATATATAAATATAATTTATATAATATTTAAAATATTTAAAATATATAAAATATATATTTAAGCACAGCCTACCGGCCTGGTGAATGAGTTTGGTTTACAGAATTGTCCCTAATAGAAAAACAACATTTAATTGGGATCTGAAGGAATTAAGTGATCTTTATGTCTGTTAATATCTATTTGAAATATTCTCTTGAACTTTATAAAATATTGTTTTGAATTATGGTAATAGGAGTAGTTTCCGTATTTCTATAGTGAATTCTCAAAAATTTCATTCCAAAGAGGGTTTAATTTAACAAGAATTTCATTCGGCAGTTTCATACAGCATACAAATCTAGTGAAAGTATGAATTTTTGAACAATTTCATTTGACAGTATTATAAGGGATGAAGTATTTCACGAAAATATAAATTATCAAAAATCCATTCGATGATATTATAAACAACGAAAACCTACTTCCATCGTAACAAATATTTCACGCCCATCACGATTTGAAATAACAAATGCGCATTAATAGTAAGGGGTATTTATCTCGAAGAATTAAAACGCAGCGAACAGTTGACAGACACTTCTATTGATACTTGCTGAAACTAGAATAGTTTAAAATGTTGTATATTGAACTGTTATACGTCAGGAACTTGACAACCAAGTTTTGTTGTTGTTCGAACGTTTTTACATTTCATAGACGATAAGAATATTCGGTGCACCAAAATATATTACCATCAACGTTCATTTTCAAGTGCGTATAATGAATTCGTGTTACTCATACACGACTGAGTCGACAATGGAAATGTGGGGAAGCTGAGAATTTTTGGGTAATCGAGATGTCCCATTCATATTATGAGTCATAAAGGAAGATCACCGAAAATGCCCAGCCATCACAAACATTCTTATCGTCGCATTCACCTATCCGTCAATAGCCTCGTTGTCTCTATAGTTGCTATTAAATTTGTGCAGAGTCGATAGGCTACCGTGAAATAAAAGTGGTGGACTCTTATTTAACATAGCCGGCAAGCGGCCGACAGTGCTCACTTGACCACCGACCGTAACAGAGTATTCGCATTTCATAGGTAGCATATCGAGAGTCAGTGCTGGCGGTGTGAAGAAGTTTTGTTCTGTGAAAGAAAGTGACCAGTTCGATTCACAATGGGTCTTCTGATCTTCGTTGTTGCTTCTCTTTTGTTGTACAGTAAGTTTTTTCCCCAATGTCGATTTCTTCGTTTCTTGTCAACCGTGATTTCGAAAGAAATCAAATCAGTTTCAGTGTACAGCGTCGGACTTTCATCTATGAAACGGTATCTTTGAAGAGTTTCAACAAAATCACTGAATATTTGGGAAGTATATTAGATAGGTGACTCTATATTTAAATGTTTCGATATTATTTTTGGGTCCTTCCTGTGTGACATTTACGTTTATACTTTGCGTTTCTGTATTTTTAGAAACTAAGTTCTTACATGATTGACTATGGTTAATAGTTTTGTGCAATGTGAAGTTCAGTAATTTTTATTTATAACTTATAGCAAATTATATTTGAAGTATCGAGGAAGTAGTACAATAATAATAGAAAAGAAAAGAAGTGCATATTTTAAGTGACAGTCAGGGGTGAATTTTCAATTTCGATTAAAAGTAGTCGGTTGGAAGTTGATGTTATATTTGTTGTCAATGTTATTAATATTGCATCTGATTATTGCCAATTAACACGTCACCAGGATAATTAATAACAGCTATAATTAAATGAAAGTATATTTACTCTATCGTATATATTTTATAATAGATGACTAATAAAAGAGTTCTCTTATATCATAAGAAAATTTGTTAGAACTACTTTGTTTAAGTTGCCCTTTGCCGTCTCTATAACTGAAAATTATAATATTTTCTCTGTATATGGTTCAATCCCGTTAAGAGATTCTAATTAGGTAGATAAAAACGAAATAACGGAATATAAAAAGAATTTGGTGATAATGAAATTATAATGTCCGGTATATATTGATAACCGTTATCAAAGTTGTGACTTCCGAATTAATGGCGCTTATTATTAATATCACGGAACCTCTTAAAATTCATGGATGTACGCGTCGGTATTAGCTGCTGCATAGTACAACTCGGTTATGCTCTTGCAATATAGAAACGGTATGTAAAAGACAATTAGAACATCATTGAATATTTCCATCCGAGGCGGAAGTGCATACAAGAAGCACGAACCAAAACCGTTACATAAAGTTTATGAAAAGGGAAAGTTAGATAATGCATAATACGCATTTGTTACTACCATAAAGTCAGTTTCCATTGTACCCACATGGATTTTATTTGCTTCACCGATAAACATTGCTCAAAGTGAACTTTTACATGCAAACTTCATATTTTTCAAAAATATAATGGAAAATAATTTTTAAAAATTCATAATGTTAATTATTGTTAATTTTGTATTATTTTTATAGTATAGAAAATTCAGTGTCACATTTATCGTCGATATTTCTCAACTACATTTCAGTTTGTTAAAACTATTTAATACGCATGGTATTATAACAATTGTAGTAATGATTATCTGGATTACGCGAAATATTATCACCTCGAATCTTACTTTAACTACCAGAAAGAACCTCGAACAAAGAAAACTAACCTTTTTTCTATGTACTCCTTAACATTTAGCAGAAACGTGCAAGTAAATATTTGACGACAAAATCAACGCAAGTTAACTGTCCATGTCGTCTTTCACACATATATTTCTGTCACCTACATTACGATTGTTCTATTAAGGGAATTCAATGTTAAATTAAACACTCAAATAAATTCACCTGGTCGTCTTTTAGTTTAAATGAAATCATTCTATGGAAAACTTACACTCTAATAATTACAAAAGCATTTTTCAATTTATTAAAAATAAAATTAAACATTTGTTACGTGCACACTTCACATTTTGTACAGTTATCATTTTTAATTATCACGACAAAAATAGAGTGAGTAATAATTCAGAAAGAAATAACATAGATTACGAAGGGAAATCGGTCATAGACACCGCAAGCTCTTCTTGTTCAATTTAAAGTTCGATTACTCGATGAATAATCTGAGTTGCAATATTATAGAAATGTAATCAATGCGGGTGTATATGTGTACATACACACACACACACATATATATATATATATATATGTGTGATCACTGTAATCAGCTTTCGACAACAGTGTCATTTACTGATGTGAGCCTTATGTAACGTTCGTTGCACGTGTATGCGCCCGTTTGATTTGCTGCACATTAACAAATGTTGCCGCCGATATAAATAAGTTTTTACTATTTGGGCGAAGAAATTTACGTAACATGGCGCGCGAACTTTAATTACAGTTTCAGGCTCCGCTTTCTTCGCTAGAGAGAACCAGAAAGAATCGTGGCTAATCTAATTCTATTATTGGATTCACGCAAAAGTTTTGACGTTTTTCACGAGCAACTGAAAATATCACTGGATTCATTTTTGTCTTTGAAATCACAATTTTACAATCATGGAATAAATAATCTTATAGAAAGGTGGGGGAGAATAGCAACCAATAGAAATTATGCAATAGATTAAATCAATAAATGTATTTCAAAAATTTCTTTTATTTTTTATAAAAAAATGTTGAAACTTTTGCATTAAGCCAGTATTTCAAATTTTGAATAAGATGAGGTAACTCGATGTTCCTTGAGCCTGAGTTTTAAGTTAATTCGTGCAATTTATCACTTGAGAAACCGAAATTGTCAATCGTCGTTTTTGCTAGATTCTACGGTGACGTGCTTTTATCACGACCTTCGTGAAATCAATCGTGAAATGTATCGAACCTTCGATAGGGTGCAATATTTGACACTGATCAATATTTCACACGGTATCGGGCTACATTAAATATAGATAGTTTATCTAGTATGTACCTTAATAAAAAAAATTCATGGCATGGTACGCATGGTACGCATGGTACAGCGTCAAGCCCAAACTACTATCTTGTTGAGTATGATAGAACTTGAACATTTAAACTTTTTTGACGCTGACTTGGCTCTTATTGCTACGAGCAGATTGCTACTTAATCTTCGAAGAAGTAGAAGATAATGTGAGCTCGCTATCATAAAGTGATATTGGTGGATCTTTTGATGAAAGACGACTGTTGTAAACTGTGGGCTATTTGAAAGAGTTTTATTAGTAGTTGTGGAAGTAAATTACGATTTCGTTAATTGATTGCCTCATTCCTTAAATGTGGGTAACTTTTAGGAAGGTGATTAATTAAATCTTTTTGTAGATTGAGGTTATTTAATTGTTGAAGATATAAAGTTTCTCAAACAACTTTGCATTACACCACTTCTATAGACATTTGTAAAGTTTTGGGACAGTACTCAGGTAATATGTAGTATAGAATAACAAATAATAGAAGAATAAAAGCTTAATAATTAGTTACATTTTAATTGATATTACATGTATATTCACAAGATAAATACTCAGCCATAACACTAGAACTACCGAGCATTTAATTCCGTTGATATGTGATCCTTATAAAGACTGTAACAATACATTTTTTTACGATTTCTTCAGACATTCATTATAGTATTTAAGCGAAACCATTTATTTTCAAGATCATTGCAGGTATTAAATACTTTTAAAACATCAACAATTACAAAATAAGGAAACTAAAACCTGTTATTTTGACGGGTACAGTAATACTAGTGTTAAAATACAATTAAACAAAATATACATTTGAACAGTTTTTTTAAGTGGTACAAGTCCATTTTTGTATACATTGAAATACTTTACGTTTTGCGTTTGAATCGACTTAAAAATATTGGCAAACGTTAATCAATTCGGGTAATGTTCATAAAACCATAAACTTGCTAAATTTTATTATGCAATAATAATTAATAAAATTGTTAAAGAAAATAAACAATTTTCTAGCTACAAATGGACTTATTCTATTTTCAAATAAAATATTTTTGCGATAACGTTTTACAGTTAAACTTCTGTTGATTCATTTATGAGGATATCGTACGTCATTGACAATCGTCTGATTATACATATAAAAGGGGGATATCTATATCTCACTAAAATTAACAGTAACTTATTTTTTCCAAAAATGAATGTATACCACTTTAAAAACACGACACATTTATCAAAGTCGCGATTTAGCGAAGAAGGAGGAAGAACAGTTATGAAGGGGCGATTATCGCAATGGTCATTAATTCGCCATCGAAAGAGTACCATCCTTTAAAAACATTATGTGCAGTTTTCTGTCGGAAGGACATTCATAGGATAAACGGAATGAGAAGAAATCATTGTGTCGGATCTCTAGCTTCATTATCGCACAAGTTACGTGCCCCGGAAAGATATGCACCGTCCATAAACATTCTGTACGATTTGCTGCATGCCATGTGTTGCGCAATCCTTCCGCACAGAAAAAAACGTGCCGAAACTGAGCCGTGTTATTGATGGCGGAGAATTGTTGACTGAATTTGATAAGTAAATTAATCGGCAATCGAGATGTTGATACGCGGGGATTTCGCTGGCATCGCGGGAAATTTCCGCGATAACTGAGCGGTACAGATAGTTTCTTCCGGAGGAACTTTTTCGAAGGATTTTGGCATTTTAAAAAGAAATGTTTATTATTGGACACACCTATCCCCCGATTTACATGGAAGATGGGTTCCTCGGAATACCGTATGAATGGAAATCGTGGATTTTTCTGTGTAAAACCGTGTAAATCGAAAACAAACCAAAATGTGCGTAACTTAGTCAGTTACTTATTTAATTAAATTCATTTACTTCAGGGTAAAATAGAAGTAAAATACTATAAAAAACATAACATTATCGGTTCATTCGTGAACTGACAAATATGTGAAGCTATGAATACCTCATTCTGTTTATAGAAACGAGAAATACATATAAAATACATAAAAAATGGAACCAAATGTTGAACCAAGGAACTAAATCTATATAATTTTACGCCAATTATAAGAATGCTAAAAAACTATAATTCTTCGTCACTAATCAGTAGCAATGATGCTTTATGACGTTTCTTAAAATTCCGATTAGAAAAAGCAGAACGTTATACATCTTTCTGTTGCTTAAGATTTACTGAACTTCATTGCACTAATTCACATGAATGGTTCTTGTATGTATGTAAGAAGGAGAATTTCCTTTTTTAGATTTAATGCCAGTGTTACCAATTGAATGGAATTAAA